CGATTTATGCAGACGATGTTTTCTTTGTCGTTTTATGCAGACTACCAATCTCTGTCGTTTTATGCAGACGATGTTTTCTTTGTCGTTTTATGCAGACTACCAATCTCTGTCGTTTTATGCAGACGATATTTTCTTTGTCGTTTTATGCAGACGATATTTTCTTTGTTGTTGTATGCAGACGATATTTTCTTTGTCGCGTTATGCGGACGATATTTTCTTTGTCACTTTATTCAAGTGATATTGTCTTTGTAGCTCCAGACGAACAATCCTTACATCCTTACAATGTATGCAAGACTGTGTACCTAGCTCGTGTGACAGTGGCTAATATTGATTACAGTTAAACAGACATTTGTAATAGCATGTTTTCATAAACATTCTAAGGTTTCTAAATATTATAATCTTATCTTAAAGCGAATAGTTCTTATGTTAGTGTACAGTTAGTTATGTAGGTGAGTCTAGGTATAGATGAACGGATATTTTGGTATCGATGAAAAAGAGTCGCTTTACTTTGTATTATATGTTATCTGATGTGTTGCGACATCTTAATGAAGTTATTATTATGATTATTTTTCGTCGTCTTCTTGCATTGATCCTTCCGTAAACCTTACCAGGAACATATGATCGTGTGTTCAACCCCCAAAATGGTTGCATTTTCATTCAGTTGTTCGCCCCACAAGCGTTTGAGTGAGTGAGTTAAAAGTTTACATCAGATCGACAATAGTGCAGCCATTTCGCGATGAGAATAATTTAGGTATAAATTCTTTTCAAGTCCCACTATTCATAAGTCTAATATGGTCAGGTCAATTGTCAATCCATATATTGCAAAAAAACCTATCTATTTATATACACAGTTCAATGAATCTTAGAGATTCAGTCCAATGCCAATAATATCATATTTACTTTTCGCATATTTTGTAAATTAACTTATTGTCTTATTCATTAAATATGCACATGTATGTATCGCTCTGTAATCCTGAAATGTAGGCCTATGACCTCCACTACAAAAGAAATAAAGATTGAAGATATTATAATTGCATATTTGTCGACAAAATACAGTAAAACAGTGAGGTACGTATCACAGTTTAGTTATACCACAACGGCTTCCGCATGATTGTTCTGCCCAACATTGTTACTTATGCCACTTTGACCAATGTCCAACAATTACTTTTTTGACGTTTTGAAGAATGCACGATTCGGTTGAAGTTTTCGGACACCTTCGTTTTTATTGGGAGCATGTTATATTTGGGGGGAATCATTTCTGCTTGGGTGTTTATGCAATTGCATTACAAGTGGTAACTTTCTTTTGCCCGATAGTTTAGTCCTTGAACGGCATTTAGAAGACTGCATGACACGCTGACTATGCGACCTGTGACAAAGGTACTGGAATTGCTGATGTAGGATTTTCCTTCTTTTCCCAAAAGTGCTAGTAGTTTGGCAAGATGTTGGGCTGTGTTGTAGCAGACTGAGCCCCTGGAGCATACACGTGTTCTGACTTTGACTGGATGTTTATGTGTGCCCCAGTGTGTACTTTAGTGTGCTATAATCATTGGCTTCGCCTTACTATTCTGACCTTTCTCCAGTTTCGGGTAAATCTTGTATGGAAAGATTAAAGATAATAAAATGGATGTTACCAGCTCGATACAAAATACATCTGGGGTATTCGATTTGCTGACATTTTCCAAGTTACAGGCGAAACTGTATCTCAGCTGTTGAAAGTATTAATAACCAGATTAATATCCATTTTGATATGGCAACCTTTAGGAATGGTCACACGTCATGCTCTTGATATATTCCTTGTGATACTCATGTTAGTGAATATAAAACATTGAACTCATAATAGAAAGATGTCTGTAATAAAAAAGAGTATATAATGAAAATAGTCTAAGAGATAAAACTTCAGGATGTCAGTTAATTTAAATACTTGAGATCTGTTGAAGGAACTAAAGAATTTCTTGAATTCTAAAACTAAAAAATTATTTGATCTAACGACTGCCTTAAATATGTTGAAAATCCGGTAATCAGTCTACTAATCTGAGAGAGAAAATAACTAGAAAGTTGAGTGAAAACAATGCCTGAAAATATGGTCACCATGACAACGCCACTAATATGAATATTGTCACCAAATTATTAGTTATTGTTTGTTGTGATTGTGTGAACCGACACTGACGACCACGTCAGTACCTAGTGTAGCCACCCCTCGCACGAAAAACATCTGCCCATGCCCTCCTAAAAGTTGTTCCATGGGGTTCATACCTGGCTGCTTAACAGATCCCCCATCTGCGAAAAAATCCTACACTATCCTTCGATGACGACTGAATTCAAATGAAATAAACGTCACCTAGCACATGTTCAGAACGAGAATAATGACGCCCCACTGTGAAATAATTTCACTTGCGAAAGAATGATTTACAGTTGCAACGTCATGGTTTTTGAGAAGTTCTTTGATCTTATCTTGTTTACATCATGATTATTGCCTCGAAAATGCACAAATATGACTGAAACGTTTTTTGTGTGGAGGGTTACACATAGTATGTGTAGTGAGTAGTAAGTCCAGTGACGTCACTCATTCATAACGTTGGGTTATTTATCAATGCGCCGATACAATGAGAAAGAACGAAATATGCATCGATTTGATCCAAAAGTTGTGAGGTTTAAGGGTGTTGTAAGAAACAGATTACTGTACTTGTTGTAAGATAAATGGAGTCTGACAAACACTCGTTTTTTTTTTTTGAGGCCCGGGATAGAATTGATCTTCAGCAACCCATGCTTGTCGTAAGAGGCGACTAACGGGACCGGTTGGCACATGTCATCGTATCCAAATTGCGAAGATCGATGCTGATGATGTTGATCACCGGATTGTCTGATCATTTACAGACTGGAATAGCTGGAATATTGCAAAGGGCGACGTTAAAGAAAGACAACTTGGTGTGATCTCAATAGTAACATTTACATCTTGATGTGCAGTGAAAAAGAGTAAATACGGGTACATATGAGAGTGATTGAGTGAGTGAGTCAGTGAATATCTTTTTGCGTCACTTTTTGCCATATTCCAGCAATTTCATGGCGGGGGATACCAGAAATGGTCTTCCCACATTGTACCCATGGAAGGAATCGAACCCGGGTCATCGGCGTGACGAGCGGACGCTTTAACCACTTGGCTACCACAGAGCAGACAGACCCAGCACGCATGACAACACAGTGTTCAATGTTCAACTGCCCAATGATAACGACACTAGTGTTTCATCAAGCAGGGATATGATTCACAGAGTAGACAGACCCAGCAGTGCCAAGTAAACTCATGACAACATAGTATTCAATATTCAACTGCCCAATAGCAACGACACGGCGTATTCACTACTGTTTCAACAAGCAAGGACATGGTTCATGTGACAGGGAAATAGTGTCAAGTGAAACTACACTAACATTAACAGCTCAGATCTGTCAGTGTTAACCAGCTGCTCACTATGTTTCTGTTTTACACTGTGACCGGATTACTTCATGTGTGTGGTATGTATTTGTCTTCGAATTGACATTTTATATAGCCATCCTTGTGACTGTTTTCTTAAGTAATACGGGATATTCTCTCAGTAATCACAAGTAATGATGACTGGTATTTTTTTACGTGCAGGTCATTACATGAACTTATCACGCCAGTATTTAATATGTTTGTTTTATATAGCGCCTAGTATCAATCTGTCTAGTTGCTCGCTGGACGCTGAATCACAATCTGATTATTATTACCCTGGATAACCCAAGCTGCCTGTAAGGCGCTAGAAGGTTAATAGTCACATGACTTATCTCACCGGGTAACCAGTTTCTGCTGTACCAGTTTCGGCAATTCTGAACAAACACACTTACCTCAGCTGAGACCACATGGTAGTATATGATATGTTAGTATGTTCAGCGTAGTGTAGACCACATGTTAGTATATGATATGTTAGCATGTTCAGCGTAGTGTAGACCACATGTTAGAATATGATATGTTAATATGTTCAGCGTAGTGTAGACCACATGTTAGTATATGATATGTTAATATGTTCAGCGTAGTGTAGACCACATGTTAGTATATGATATGTTAGTATGTTCAGCGTAGTGTAGACCACATGTTAGTATATGATATGTTAGTATGTTCAGCATAGTGTAGACCATATGTTAGTATATGATATGTTTGTATGTTCAGCATAGTGTAGACCACATGTTAGTATATGATATGTTAGTATGTTCAGTGTAGTGTAGATCACATGTTAGTATATGATATGTTAGTATTTTCAGCGTAGTGTAGACCACATGTTAGTATATGATATGTTAGTATGTTCAGCGTAGTGTAGACCACATGTTAGTATATGATATGTTAGTATGTTCAGCGTAGTGTAGACCACGTGTTGGTATATGATATGTTAGTATATTCAACGTAGTGTAAACCACATGTTAATATATGATATGTTAATATGTTCAGCGTAGTTTAGATCATATGTTAGTAATGTGTGTGTGATATGTAAGTACAGTGCATACATGTATATGAAGTACTGTGCATGGGATATAAACATATTATACAGTGGAAACAATCATAATAACAATCAAGTAGATACATTACAACAATGTGACAAACAATAAAGGAAAATATATTTAGAATAGAACCGATCGGTTATATCGATATCACTTGATGGACTCCCCTAAAAAGAATGTAATTTACATTTTCCGAAAGGTTTACATTAAAAATGCAAAATTGTGTCAGTTTGACAATTCAACCCACAGAAAATACTATAACGCATGTTCATAAAAGTTCTTTCCTCCTTACATGATCATGTCTCTGTTTGGGGGCTTATATGTGTGTGGTATGTATCTGTCAACTAGTACTATATTGAGCTGACTTCAATAATGTGCTTGAATAATTCTGTCAACTGTTAACCATGTTTTAATGATGAATACTTGTTTTGAGTGCAGGTCTTGCCTCCATAACAACTGGATACCCACACACTGTTGCACGTGTTGGCGACGATGTAAACATAACCATGAACCCAGCGAATGTCAGCTTCCTATATGACGTATGGGTGAATGGTTGGGTAACTGAGAGACTGTTACTGGTCATGCCTAAGTCACACCGTGTATGGGTACTCAACAGCAGTCACACCGGCTACACGACCAGGATGAGATACACCGGTGAGGACTCACTATCACAGACCGGACAGCTGAGGTTTACCATCTACAATGTTACTGTACAGGACGCTGGTACTTACTACTGTCAAGGAAGCATAGGACACAATGTTACTGGATGTAGACAGGTCCTCGTTGTACCTCGTGAGTAGTATATGGGATTAACAGAATATTGTTTGTAGAATAAAGTTGGACTGTCTTAATGTATCTCCAGCATAAGTAAATAGCTGTTCAATCTTCTATTGCACTAGAAGAACTTAAGGTGAGGTGAAATGGGGGTTTAGATTTTTGTATATATGGAGACATGGATCCGGGTATGTGTGTGTATGAGTGCGTGCGTGTGTGTCGACCCTCCTCTCCATGGAAAGTACATTTAACTCGTTTCAGTAGAGGCAGCCAGTAGTTATGTGGTAACTATCATATTTAATCAACAAAACGGTTAGGAGTATTAGGATCTAGCCAACATGTATTCCCTGCTGTAACTGTGGAACACTGACAGTGGAACACTGAGTTAGTGAGTCAGTGATTGATTGAGTGAGTGAGTGAGTGAGTTAGATTTTAGCAATACTCCAGCAATATCATGACAGATAACATCAGAAATGGGGTTCACTCATTGTACCCATCTGGGGAATCGAACCCGGGTCTTCGACGTGACGACTGAACGCTTTAACTATTTATTATTTGATAGATAATAATGATAAACAGTATATAAATACAATTATGAAAGCTGTTAGTAACATCTTGTTCAATGGCACTCGTGTTACGGTCTGAGCACATTTGTTATATTTGTTCACAGAGAAGCCAACCAGACCTAACATCACCGGACCTGCCTCACCTGTATCAGGTGAGAATGTCACCCTGACATGCTGCTCCTCATCCCGGAGTCTACCCCCGGACCATCCCCAGCTAACCATGACCTACATCTGGAGGAGGGACAGGACCCGGGTAGAATCTGGTGATGAGTCTCCTACAGGTGGAGATGACCTGACAATAACCCACATCAGCAGAGAGAACCATGGAGACATCTACAGCTGCCAGGCCGTGGAGGAGGGCCTGAAGTCTAACTGGAGTCACGGACATGTACTGGATGTTCTCTGTGAGTAAGAACTTATCTTGTTTACGGTATAGGAACCTAGTGTATCTTATCTATGAAACTGTGCTTCTGAGTGATAGTTTTGTCACAACGTTCTACTGTGAACTACCGTGAACTACTGTTTTCTGTGTAAACAAAACAGAAATGATTATTGTGAAAGTTTTGATCGGAAATATAGGCAGGTCTGATTTAATGATCTATGCGTTAAATAGGCAATCGAAAATGCTGATAGTTTCCCTGCATTGTAAGCTCACCTGGATATGTTGTCAAGAGTTGTACATGTTATATCTGGGGTTAGGCGTCTGACTTTGTGTGCAAGCTATTAGGTACCCGACTCAGAGGATGTGGGTTCGATTCCCGGATTGGACTCAACCTAAAAGTACTAGAATTTGTACTTTACTAAGAAAGTGTAATCCCAAATATAACATGTTACATGGTCACTTTCTAAATTGTATTGTGTAGTCATAAGAGTTGTACATAGCAACAGAGTGCGTGAGTGAGTTACAACGGTGTTCCAGTTGTAGTCTGTACTTATTATGTGAGGAAAGCATAAATTGATATGGGTCTGAGACGTTTACCATTTTGTGATTCCCAAGAACACAGGCCAAGCCAAGCAACATGTCTTCATTCATCATGTATGTCACACAAGCAAACTGCACTTATATGTAAGAAAAAAATCCGTTCTTAGCTGACCATCTCACATGCATTCCAGATGGACCTGACCAGATACAGTTTGACGGCACAAGTGACAAGCTGGAGGTAGAAGAAGGGAAACCTGCAACAGTGAGATGTTCTGCTGACTGTAATCCTGCCTGTACTGTAACCTGGTGGGACATCTCCAGACAGACGGTGATTACAGGACAGGGGGAGGCTGTGTTGTCTATACCAGCTGTAGAGGTATCTGTGTCTGGACTGTACACGTGTCACGTCAACAACAGCCATGGGAGTGCATCACGGAACCTGACGCTGGAGGTCTTCTGTAAGTCAACACTTCAGTAATAGAATATGTTATATACAACCTATTTTGGGGGATGACGCCTGTTGGGACGGCCCCCTTTTCGTACACCTGATCCTGCTGGAACACCTGCTAGAACACCTAGAGATTTAAAATAATCAAAGACCCTTTAGATGGCACTCAAAGATTAAAAATAACTAACCATTTGAAACGGTAATATTGATGAAGAATTTAAGTTTCACTATGATCTGATGGCATTATCACTCCAATGAGTCTTAACTTTCAGATTTCCCAAAAATCCCAAATGTTTCCGTTAATTCGATAAATCAATTAGAAACCTGCCCTACAGAATGCAGTGCTTCTGAATCTCTATTTATATGAGAAATAAAATTTGACACTTTTCGTTACAAATTTCCGTTTCTTCACCTTGCACAAATGAGAACACTGATGTTACCGACATTGCATGTCCTCCTGTGGAGCTGATGTTGACAACGACGTTGTTGTTTCGGATGTACAGCGTACCTCATCAATCACTTACAAAGCATAGCACGGAAAGGTTATTTCAGATGAACATCGCAAGTGTCAACCCATTTAATATGTTTTGAATCGGGTTAAAACCTCCCGAAGAGGCTTGATGTTACATGATTATACTCGTATGCATACTGAACTGAATATTGTTCACGTTAAATGTTTCAGCACGTCGAGTTACTGTACCTGGTGTCGTTTCCATCGTCCCCTTGGCTGCTGTCTGTTCCATCCTGATCGTGGTCATCGCCGTTGTCGTCATCGTTGTTGTTTGTAGAAAACAGAGACGTGGAGGTAATACAGTGTGATGTGAGAGTGAATGACGATAACCCGAGAGTCACGTAAAGTTGTCTCTCTCAGAAGCACTCCTTTCGCACTTTCGTTCAACAATTACAAATACTGATTTCACTTAATAGCGTGTTGCGGTTCATATATTACTACATGCTCATGTTTACATCACGCGATCCATGTGTGTGTTCAGTGTATCGTCACCCGGAAATAGTTAGCTCAATAGAATAGCAAGGCCAATGCTTTCAAATGAACAGTCACATGATGATAGTGCATAAGAAAGATAGACACGTTCTTTTATGTGAGTGAGTATGGTTTTACGCTGCTTTAAGCAATATTTCCGCAATATCACGGCGGGGGACACCAGAAATTGGCTTCACACATTGTACCCAAATGCAGCATCGAACCCGGGTCTTCGGCAGTGACGAGCGGACTCTTTAACCACTAGTTTACACCACCGTCCCTTCCTATAAATATACACATGTGCTGAATTATACATGACAGTGTGGGACAACGCTTTGGGTGAGGTAGGCGGGGAGGGCGGGGTTGGATGGTTACTTCAGAATACGTTGTACCCCAACAACTGATATATACCAATACTGACCAGCAAAAGAAACGAAATTCAAGACATCAAAACTCACACTGAATCTCGATTCGTCTAAAAAGATGACATCATCCCACCTTCGTTGTCCAGAACAGAACAGAACAGAACTTTTACTACGCTCAGGGGTACCCTTCCAAGTTCTCCATATGGCATTATAATGGCGTGCTTCTCTTAACGGGAATGAATTTGCGTAAAAGGTTTACATGAACGGATTCTATAGATTTACAGTTTTCAAAACCCCATATTTCGCAGGCGTATAACAGAATTGGCTTAACCATGGTGACCTCGATTTGTCACCCAACGGCGCCGTTCCAGTCGATGTCTGTTGGTGAGGATAGGTTCACGGTAAGGTCGACGGCAATGTAAGCCTGCCGCCAGGAGTCGTCAACGCATAGTTCTTTCGCTGATAGGGCGCCCCCTAGACCCAATCACTGGATAAGCAGTGCTTACTGCCGCCTACAGAGGGTTCCGTTGGTGCTGAGGTTGGATTATCCGGTCCTGTCTTTGTGACGTTACACGGGGGTGTACCGGAACGGGGGCGATCAGAAACGCTGCCAGTTGCCACTACCCGTTGTTGCAGACGAATTATTGTCGAAGGGTGAACCTTAAAATGTCGGTCTCCAGCATTCAGCATGCATATTGCTTGGTGTCTCTCCATTTCACTTACACGTGGCATGTTGCGGTGAAATGACAGCATTACGACACTGCCTGCATTTGTAGCCCTACGTCCACAATCTGCACGTGTGTCATGCATTTCATCCTTGCTTGTTTCTCCCTAATGATTTGGAACACCATCCTGCATGGTGAATGCTTTATCATCACCACATCGTGCTTGTGTTAAAGGATCAAACCCAAACTCATGCTGAAAAAGTACAATTTTCATGAATTCTGAGTTGCGTTATTATTGCTGGTCAGTATATATACACCTATACAAACGTTAAGCAATACTAATATGTTTTGAGAGGTAATGTCTTTACTGTAACTGTAAAACATAAGTAATACTTCGGTATGTAGCATCTGATGTCCATTTCCATCCAGTTACTCAGTAAAACGTTATCTGGCAAGCATTTCACTTTATATTGACATGTTATACATTTTCAAATGATCATTTTGTCCTATTTATACAAATAGATCTTCCGCATGTCATAGTTTTCACGTCCATGTGGTGGATTTTGTTTGAATGTACAGATGTCCTGGATGGTGTCTATTAATATTCATTCAGGAAGTACATGTGGGGAAATTGAATCTGAGACCAGCCTTTAAGGAAGAGTTTATAGTGAGTGAATATGAGCAATATCACGACGGGGGACACCCGAAATGAGCTTCAGATATTGTACTCATGTAGGGAATCGAACCCGGGTGTTCGGTGTGAAGAGTTAATACCCTTAAGAGACACTATTATTGAGATCATATGCAAAACCTTTCACACCCATAAATAGAGTGAAATCTGAATATCTATGTCATAAGCTTACATGAGAAGTTAGATGTAAATTACTTCAAACTGTGGTGGTATCTACTTGACATGTCCTTTTCTGTGTGTGTTTCAGTCCAACATAGACTCATTTCACTTCTCTTATATAACCGTCAAGATGCATTTGAACAGCCTGAGAAATATGAATCATTTCTTTTATATAACCCTAAAGATGCTGGAACAGCCTGAGAAATATGAATAATTTCTCTTTAATAACCGTCAAGACGCTTGAACGGCATTTGAGATATGAATCAATAGTGTGCACACATTTACATATTTGATGGCCTTTAGGTTTCAGTGAGTGAGTGAGGATGTTTACGCCGCTTTTAGCAATATCACAGCAATATCCCAGCGGGAGACACTTTAACCACTAGTTTTCCCATCCCAACAAGGACTTCAGGACACCAGTGTTACCTAGCTGACAGTCACATATCGTTCTACAAATTTCAAGTTATTTATGTCTACTTCAAAGGTATGCAAGTATACGAGCAATTCGTTTATCATATATTTTTCATCTAACATTTTGCATTTACACAATTATGTCTTTCAGGAAGTCGACACATTCATAATCTGTGAGTATCTGCTATCCAGTGGGTAAGGCAAATGGGGAAATTTAAACTTAGTGGTATCTGCTCTTTTTCAAGGTTGTTGAGTAAACAGTTGGCAGTATCTGCAATTCTTCAAGGCTATTGCGTAAACAGTTGGCAGTACCTGCTATCCAGAAAGTAAGGCAAATGGGTAAACAGTTGGCAATACCTGCTATCCAGATAGTAAGGCAAATGGGTAAACAGATGGCAGTACCTGCAATCTTTCAATGCCATAGTGTAAACAGTTGGCAGTATCTGCTATCCTTGAAGACTGTTGGGTAAACAGTTGGCAGTATGTGCTATCCTTCAAGGCTATTTAGTAAACAGTTGGCAGTATCTGCAATCCTTCACGGCTACTGGGTAAACAGTTGGCAGTATCTGCTGTCCAGATGGTAAGGCTTTTGGGTAAACAGTTTGAAGTATCTGCTATCCTTCAAGACTGTTGGGTAAACACCTTGCAGTATCTGCTATCCAGATGGTAAGGCTATTGGGTAAGCAATTGGCAGTAACTGCAATCCTTCACGGCTACTGGGTAAAACGTTGGCAGTATCTGCCATCCTTCAATGCTATTGGGTAAACAGTTGGCAGTATCTGCTAACCTCTAAGGGTATTGGGTAAACAGTTGGCAGTATCTGCATTCCTTCAAGGGAACTGGGTAAACAGTTGGCAGTATTTGCAATCCTTCAAGGCTGTTGGGTAAACAGTTGGCAGTATCTGCTGTCCAGATGGTAAGGCTTTTGGGGTAAACAGTTTGAAGTATCTGCTATCCTTTAAGGCTGTTGGGTAAACACCTTGCAGTATCTGCTATCCAGATGGTAAGGCTATTGGGTAAGCAATTGGCAGTAACTGCAATCCTTCACGGCTACTGGGTAAAACGTTGGCAGTATCTGCCATCCTTCAATGCTATTGGGTAAACAGTTGGCAGTATCTGCTAACCTCTAAGGGTATTGGGTAAACAGTTGGCAGTATCTGCATTCCTTCAAGGGAACTGGGTAAACAGTTGGCAGTATTTGCAATCCTTCAAGGCTGTTGGGTAAACAGTTGGCAGTATCTGCTATCCAGATGGTAAGGCTATTGGGTAAACAGTTGGCAGTATCTGCCATCCTTCAATGCTATTGGGTAAACAGTTGGCAGTATCTGCTAAACTTTAAGGGTATTGGGTAAACAGTTGGCAGTATCTGCATTCCTTCAAGGGAACTGGGTAAACAGTTGGCAGTATTTGCAATCCTTCAAGGCTGTTGGGTAAACAGTTGGCAGTATCTGCTATCCAGATGGTAAGGCAAATGTGTAAACAGTTGGCAGTATTTGCTATCCAGATGGTAAGGCAAATGGGTAAACAGTTGGCAGTATCTGCAATCTTTCAATGCTATTGTGTAAACAGTTGGCAGTATCTGCAATCTTTCAATGCTATTAGGTAAACAGTTGACAGTATCTGCTATCCTTCATGTCTATTGCGTAAACAGTTGGCAGTATCTGCAATCCTTCACGGCTACTGGGTAAAAAGTTGGCAGTATCTGCTATCTTTCAAGGCTTTTTGGTAAACAGTTCATCACCAACACAATTTGACTAGCTATATCACTAATCAATAGCCGTGTGATATCGAGGACAATCTAAATCAATGGCGCACAGTCAATGAGCTGCTGGATAGTTATTACCCTTCCAGGCAAAGGTTTCAAGGGCGTGAACTACCTGTATTTTCGTGAACACCTGGAGACTTCACTGATTTTCTCAGTGGTTCATTCATGTCATTTTGACAGCTATTTTGTGATTTACAACACTCTGAGGAAACAGGACTGTTTTTATAAATATTCCTTGATTCCAAACACTTTCTACATTTCTTTCCCCACAGCGTTGTCACATACATCCTTGACGCAGAAACAGACGGGGGCTACCAGGAGATAGAAGGTTGGTGTTGTACGTCATCGTAGACCCTTAAACGTCACATGAATTAGTTCAGATAAACAGGTCATAGCGAATGATTAAATGGGCAATGTCATGTACCATGTCTAAAAACAGTCTTGGAATTTTAGCTGTCAACATAGAAAAACTAAAGGCCTACCATAACTATTAGCTCCGAGTGACCTTGGTCGTTGGGGTAGCCCAGTGGTTAAAGCGTTAAGGCCGAAGGCCCGGGTTCGATTCCTGAAATGAGATCAATGTGTCAGGCCCATTTCTTGTGTCCCCTGCCGTGATATTGCTGTAACATTGCTAAAAGTCGCGCAAAACCCAACTCATTCACTCACTGACTGATCTTGTATTGAAACTTGTATCGGACGCTGTCCATATATCGCGTCTACGGTGCTAGATCAGTGCACTATATTCAAACATGTACGGATATGTGATCGGTGCAGTTTGTATGCATATTTAACTGCTGAACATTGTCACTTTCAGAGAGAGGAAACGTTTTTCGGCTGTGAGTATCTTCATCAATCTTCAAGTAAGATGAATAAATATTTTATCTCCACTCAGTGATACATAGCTGAAGATCCGATATAGAATTGATCCTCAGCAACCCATGGTTGTCGTAAAAGTTGACCAACGGGATACGGTGGTCAGGCTCTCTGTCTTGGTTGACTCATATCATCGTATCCCAATTGCGTAGATCGATGCTTATGCTGTTGAGCACTGAATTGTCTGGCCCAGACTCGATTATTTACAGACCGCCGCCATATAGCTGGAATATTGCTGAGTGCGGCGTCAAACAACAAACAAACCGACATAGCTATCAGAGCAAAACTATGCACGATTCGGAGCGATGTAAATTGAAAGTGTGTCACAGCTGTATAATTTCCTTTCACTTTACTCAAGTTTAATACTCATTTTTATCATCTTGGTTTCGTATCACAGGGAAGACGAAAACGACGGGAGCTACCAGGAAATAGAAGGTTGGTGTCTAAAGGTTAACTTCAAGCATGTTGTGTAACGGCTGTGAAACTCGAACTGTGAGTGTATGGTACTGATATGTCGATTGAATGTAGCTCGAAGTATCTTCCGTCTGAAGCCCAGAAGCCTGGATTAGGAGTCGTGTCTGAAACCCATATACATTGGATATAAGTCAAATCGTCAAGGTTACGGTGTAATATTTGAAGGAACGGGAAAAATACAGATTATATGATTTGAAGTACCCATCATAGAATAGTTAATATACTGTAAATAAACATTTCCTAAGTCAAATTCGTTTATATTATATATATAATACTTATGACACTTCTTAATTTCCATGTACATAACCAGGATTCAGGATTCGGTGATGCCATGTTGGGGAAACAGATCCACTGGCCTGGACAGCTGTTACTGTCATACTTCCCGTCATACATCAAGAATGATTCTTCCATCTTCATTACTTGCTTCCTTTGTTGCGTTATGCGATGTAGACAGGGTGCCAGTAGCGTATAAAGAATCGTAGTTTCTTTGAAAAAGTTGACACAAATAGTATTTCCTCCTAATGTCCTCAAACCAGAGTCTGCACTGAAAGGTATAAGGAATATTAACGACGAATCTCTTATGTTTCAAATACGATGTAGACAGGACTCTGTTAGCTTATAAAAAGGATCGATGTTTCATTCAAAAAAAAGACACAAACAAACCCCAGAACTTCCTCTATTTCCTCCTTATGTTTTAAAACCAATATATGCATTAAAACAAACAAGGAATATTAATAGAACATTTCTTATCATTCAAATACGTCTCTGCGTTCTCATATAAATGACCATACTAGTTACATATGTGTTAACTGTGTGTTATATCAGAAGGTGATGACAACGTCGACGACATCGTCCCCATCGTAGCTGTCTACTCCGTTATGCTCACTGCCGTGGCAGTTGTGGTGGCAGCAGTTACTGTTCTTGTCTGCAAGGACGTAAAAGGTACGATGAATACATGAATCTTTTTGAATGCAATGTAAGTTTCAATCCCTCCTCCACTCCCCAACACACAACAACCAACACGAACTTACACCAAAGTGAAGAACCAGGTCAGAGCTAGTCTTCTACAACCTATTTGCAAGCTCGTCATAACGCTGGGTGATTATGGCCATGCATGTATACCCCCGTATCCCAATTGCGTAAATCGATGCTCATTATATCAATCACTGGGTTTTCTTGTCAAGTCTTGATTATTTCAGACAATCGTAATATAGCTGAAATATTGCTGAATGCAGCGTTAAACAGCAAACAGGCATCTCTGTAGTTCACTTTTTATATGCTGAAATCTTTTTGTTCCATTTTATTTTGTAAACGCTGTTTTGATTCAGTAATTTGGACAGTCGGGAGCCAAGTGGTTAAGGCGTTCACGCCAAAGACCTAGGTTCGATTACCCACATGGGTACAATGTGTGAAGCCCTGTTTATGGCGTTCTGGTTTTGGTGATGTTGATGGACTGTGCTAACAACGACTCAGTCACTAACTGTTATTCAGTAAATGGAAACGTGGACGAATCTTTCCGTTTAGAAATTTACAAGTTTGTCTTATCCTTTATTTGCAGAAAACCAGGACAGAAGGTACATAAATTTATTGTGCTGGAGTTGGGTATGGTAACAACCAGTTAACAAACCCTCATATATGTGTCCAGTTGCAATCTCCTGTGTTAAACACCATTTACTCAACTTACCCCAGAAAACTAGACCCTAACTGAATAAACGAAGCCCGTATAGATTATCTGTGGAAATGACGGAGAAAATAGCAATTGGATCTATGTAACAAATGTACGATTTGTTAAGAAAGGATTGCAAATCTATGATCACTGTTGACGTCTTTTTTAGGATTTCCAATCCATTTATGATTTCTGTTCCACGCTGCATGAAAGCAACATACATACACTTCTGTGCAAGACAACTTTATGTGCAATGTAAGTGTAATGTTTTAATTACAGATGTGGTGAATATCTTACTGTGATGGCAGACAGATTGTCCCGTGACTTGAGTGATGTACCTAGTGCTTCCAACAACGACGGGGATGTCTTACCCCTACATGATTACGAGCGACTCCTGAGGGAACAGTTCCACATCTACACGTCTCTCCACCCTTCAACTTTGTAGCTGAGGACCACAGCACCAGGTGAAGCCAAAACTGACGTTACAGTTCCTCATCTACGTCTCTCCACTCTTCATCGTCCTCCATCGAGGACCACAGCACCAGGTGAAGCCAAAACTGACGTTACAGTTCCACATCTACACGTCTCTCCACCCTTCAACTTTCTAGCTGAGGACCACAGTACCAGGTGAAGCCTATACTGACGATACTGTTCCTCATCTACACGTCTCTACACCCTTCATTGTCCCCCACAGAAGTCTACTCTGACGGTACAGTTCCTCATCTACACGACTCTCTACCCTTCATCGTCCCCCACAGAGGACCACAGTACTAGGTGAAACCTATACTGACGGTACAGTTCCTCATCTACACGACTCTCCACCCTTCATCGTCCCACACAGAGGACCACAGTACCAGGTGAAGCCTATACTGATGATACTGTTCCTCATCTACACGTCTCTCAACCCTTCATTGTCCCCCACAGAAGTCTAATCTGACGGTACAGTTCCTCATCTACACGTTCCTCCACCCTTCATTCTCCTCTACAGAGGACCACGCCACCAGTAGGGCATGAACTGATGGTAAGGTTCCTCATCTATACGTCTCTCCACCCTTCATCGTCCCCAACAGACGACCACGGGACCATAGTACGGTGTGCAGCCTCTAGTGAGGCAACAGTTTATGCAGGCGATATTGTCTTTTTACCTTTCTACAAACGATATTGTGTTTACAGTTTTATGCAGACGATGTTTTCTTTTTCGCTGTAGGCTGACGATATTTTCTTTGTCGCTTTATGCCGACGGTATTTTCCTTGTTGTTTTATGCTGACAATATTTTTTTTTTCACTTTATGCAGTCGAAAGTTTCTTTGTCGCGTTATGCAGACGATATTTGTCACTTGATGCAAGTTGTTATGTTAGTGTACAGTTAGTTATGCAGGTGAGTCTCGGTATAGATGAACGGATATTTTGGTATCGATGAAAAAGAGTCGCTTTACTTTGTAGTATATGTTATCTGATGTTGTGTTGTGACATCTTAATAAACTTATTATTATGATTATTTTTTGTCTTTTTCTTGCATTGATCCTTCCGTAAACCTTACCAGGAACATATGGTCGTGTGTTCAAACCCCCAAATGGATGCATTCTCATTCAGTTGTTCGCCCCACAAGCGTTTGAGTGAGTGAGTTAAAAGTTTACATCAGATCGACAATAGTGCAGCCATTTCGCGATGAGAATAATTTAGGTATAAATTCTATTCCAGTCCCACTATTCATAAGTCTAATATGGTCATGTCAATTGTCAATCCATATATTGTAAAAAACCTATCTATTTATATACACAGTTCAATGAATCTTAGAGATTCAGTCCTATGCCAAAAATATCATATTAACTTTTCGCATATTTTGTAGATGAACTTATTGTCTTATTTATTTCATATACACATGTATGTATCGCTGTGTGATCCTGAAATGTAGGCCTATGGCTTCCACTACAAAAGAAATAAAGATTGAAGATATTATCATTACATATTTGTGGACAAAATACAGTAAAACAGTGAGGTACGTATCACAGTTTAGTTTTACCACAACGGCTACCGCATGATTGTTCTGTCCAACATTGTTACTTATGCCACTATCGTGCACGTGCATTTTGACCAATGTCCAACAATCACTTTTTTCACGTTTTGAAGAATGCACGATTCGGGCGAAGTTTACGGACACATGCGTTTTTATTGGGAGCATGTTATATTTGGGCGAACGTGGTATCTTTCTTTTGCTCGATAGTTTAGTCCTTGAAGGGCATTTAGAAGACTGCATGACACGCTGACCATGCGACCTGTGACAAAGGTACTGGAATTGCTGATGTAGGATTTTCCTTCTTTTCCCAAAGGTGCTAATAGTTAGGGAGGATGCTGTGCTGTGTTGTAGCAGACTGAGCCCCGGGAGCATACACGTGTTCTGACTTTGACTGGATCTTTATGTGTGCCCCAGTGTGTACTTTAGTGTGCTATAATCATTGGCTTCGCCTTACTATTCTGACTTTTGTTCAGTTTCGGGTAAATCTTGTATGGAAAGATTAAAGATAATAAAATGGAAGTTACTAGCTGGATACAAAATACATCTGGGGTACTCGATTTGCTGACAGTTTCCAAGTTACAGGCGAAACTGTATCTCAGCTGTTGAAAGTATTAATAACCAGATTAATATCCATTTTGATATGGCCACCATTCGGAATTGTCACACGTCATGCTCTTGATATATTCCTTGTGATACTCATGTTAGTGAATATAAAACATTGAAATCATAATGGAAACATGTCTGTGATAAGACGAGAGTAGATAATGAGAATAGTGTAAGAGATAAAACTTCAGGATGTCAGTTAATTTAAATACTTGAGATCTGTTGAAGGGACTAAAGAATTTCTTGAATTTCTAAACAATTATTTGATCTAACAACTGGCTTAAATATGCTGAAAATTCGGTAATCAGTCTACTAATCTGAGAGAGAAAATAACTAGAAACTTGAATGCAAACAATGCCTGAAAATATGGTCACCATGACATCCCCACTAATATGAATATTGTCACCAAATTATTAGTTATTGTTTGTTGTGATTGTGTGAACCGACACTGACGATCACGTCAGTACCTCGTGTAGCCACCCCTAGCACGAAAAACATCTGCCCATGCCCTCCTAAAGATTGTTCCATGGGGTTCATACCTGGCTGCTTAGCAGATTCCCCATGTGCGAAAAAATCGAACACTATCCTTCGATGACGACTGAATTCAAATGAAATAAACGTCACCTAGCGCATGTTCAGAACGATAATAATGACGCCACACTGTGAAATAATTTCACTTGCGAAAGAATGATTTACAGTTGCAACGTCATGGTTTTTTAGAAGTTCTTTGATCTTATCTTGTTTACATCATGATTATTGCCTCGAAAATGCACAAATATGACTAAAACGTTTTTTGTGTGGAGGGTTACACATAGTAGGTGGAGACCGGGGTCAATTGTAACACGGGGCAATTGTAACAAGGGCGATTACTCTAAAAGGTTTCGCTCAATCATAACGTAGGTGAGTAGAGTTATTTCCCTTTGCTTTCCTGCGGTATACATTCGGGCGTTTTTCAGCTGCTCGCTTATGGCGAGATACAGTAGACGAAAAATCTTTTTTTACATAAGAAAGTAATTTTTTCACAAAACGTAATAAAACGTTCTTAATGCAGTAAATGTTGCTTGGTATGAAATTAACTTTTCAAGTGTAAAATTGAGGTATAACGACTTATTTTGAAGTAGAAATATTTGAGAAGCTCAACGTTGTTAACATGTGACGTGGCATGAAACATGGCTACTAGCATCGGGGGCAATTGTAACACTGTGTTACAACTGCCGACATGAAATTTTCCCTTATGTTATGATAATGAAGCAAATTATGATGTCGGTTTTATGTTAGTTCTTTACTAGTTTCATCATAGCAGAACATTTTCAGTCTTATGTTGATAGTATCAGCCCTCGGGTGAAAGTGTTTGCTGTTAGTCTTTGTATTATATTTTGTGCGTACGAAAACAAGAATTTTAAACTAAAAACACTTTTAATGTCGATGGTGACAAAGGTTTAATGTTAATCCATATCCACCTCAATTGATCAAGGTAACATCTTTCCACATTTCATTTTGATATTATTTGGAAAATAAACAGATTCTTACATTCGAACCTCCTTTGTTACATTTGCCCCATCCACCTGTTACAATTTCCCCGTGCTCGGGGTCAATTATAACACTTGCAGTCATTGCATTTGACGACTTTGACTTTGTAACGGCATGATCGTGAACTTTAGCTCGGAGGTTTAGAGCCAAGATGCCAATGTATTAAGTTAGTACCGATAAACTTTGTGAGCGGTCGACTAATATCGAATTACAAGAACTTAAGTAAAACGTGTTACAATGGACCCCGGTCTCCCCTATGTGTAGTGAGTAGTAAGTCCAGTGACGTCACTCATTCATAACGTTGGGTTATGTATCAGTGCGCCGATACAGTGAGAAAGGACGAAATATGCATCGATTTGATCCCAAAGTGGTGAGATTTTAGGGTGTTACTCAGAAACAGATTACTGAACTCGTTGTAAGATAAATGGAGTCTGACAAACACTCGTTTTGTTTCTTTTGAGGCTCGGGTTAGAATTGATCTTCAGCAACCCATGCTTGTCGTAAGAGGCGACTAACGGGATCGGTTGACACATGTCATCGTATCCAAATTGCGAAGATCGATGCTGATGATGCTGATCACTGGATTGTCTAGTCATTTACAGACTGGAATAGCTGAAATATTGCAAGTGCGACGTTAAAGAAAGAAAATTGGTGTGATCTCAATAGTTACGTTTACATCTTGATGTGCAGTGCTAAATAGTAAATACGGGTACATATGAGAGTAATTGAGTAAGTGAGTGAGTGAATATCTTTTTACGTCGCTTTTCCCCATATGTCAGCAATATCATGGCGGGGGATACCAGAAATGGTCTTTACACATTGTACCCATTGAGGGAATCGAACCCGGGTCTTCGGCGTGACGAGCGGACGCTTTAACCGCATGGCTACCACAGAGTAGACAGAACCAGCACGCATGACAACATAGTGTTCAATTTTTTAACTGCCCAATGATAACGACACTAGTGTTTCAACAAGCAGGGACATGGTTCATGTGACAGGGAAATATTGTCCAAGTGAAACTACACGCACATCAACAGCTCAGATCTTTCAGTGTTAACCAGCTGCTGGCTATGTTTCTGTTTTACACTGTGACCGGATTATTTCATGTGTGTGGTATGTATCTGTCTTCGAAAATGACTGTTTTCTTAAGTAATACAAGATATTCTGTCAGTAATCGTAACTGGTATTTTTTTGCGTGCAGGTCAGTATATGAACTTATCACGCCTGGTTTTAATACGTTTTTTTAAAAAAATTATAATTCATTTATGTAGCGCCTAGTATAAACCTGTCTAGTTGCTCGCTGGTCGCTGAATCACAATCTGATTATTATTACCCTGGATAAGCCAAATTGCCTGTAAGGTCTAGACGGTTAATAGTCACATGACTTATCTCACCGGGTAACCAGTTTCTGCTGTACCAGTTTCGGCAATTCTGAAAAAACACACTTACCTCAGGTGAGACCACATGATAGTATATGATATGTTGGTATGTTCAGCGTAGTGTAGATCACATGTTAGTATATGATATGTTAGTATGTTCAGCGTAGTGTACAAAACATGTTAGTATATATGGTATGTTAGTATGTTCAGCGTAGTGTAGGTCACATGTTAGTAT